GAAGTTGCTGATGTGAACTTGGCATGCAGTGCCCTTAGCTGAATTTTCTCAAGTGTTAAAATGTAGTTTGCACTAATGCCACAGGGATACTGTTGCCCAGCATATGGTTCAGAGTAGCAGCTTTCTATCTCTGTCCTCTCACCCTATTTGTACTTCTGTTTGCTTTCCAGTTCCCTGTTGGCCGCATCCATAGGCACCTGAAGTCTAGGACTACTAGCCATGGGCGTGTAGGAGCCACAGCTGCTGTGTATAGTGCTGCAATCCTGGAGTACTTGACAGCTGAGGTAAAGCTCTTATAAGGGGTGCAAGCAAGTCAATCGACTCCAAAATGGTGTAATGTCCAGAGCCTGCTGCATTTTGCTAGTTTGGAGTGTGCTGTGAAGTCCTCACTTGCTTTGAGCCAGTTCTGAGTGCATGCATCATTGGGAGACACAGAGATACGCGTGGGACTTCTTGTTCTGCATTTTGTGCAGATCAAATCCCTGTGACTTACAGGAAAGGTGGAAGTGTGAAGTGTTTTATAAACTGTGCCAGTACAGCATGTCACATCTGCTGTAAAACACTAGCTAAAATGCAGAGCTCTAAAGGAGGAATCCTGCCAAAAGAGGCATTGATTGCTCCGTTGGTGTCGCTAATAGTGTATTTAGCATAACGAATAAAATAGGTAAGGCCATGCTGTTAGTCTCGCGTGATTTCTGTGGCTCAGTTTGAAATGGTCTCCTCAGGTTCTTGAGCTGGCAGGAAATGCATCCAAAGACTTGAAGGTGAAACGTATCACTCCCCGTCACTTGCAGCTTGCAATTAGAGGAGATGAAGAATTGGATTCTCTCATTAAGGCAACGATTGCTGGTGGCGGTACGTAGATTGCACTGTTTGTGACTGGTTGGGTGGCAGGGACTCCAGCAGACCAGCAGTTGCTTAATGCTGTCATTTTATTTGAAGTGCAAAGCTGAGGAAAACTATTAAAGATAAATAACACGGTCTTGTTCTTGCTTTCCTTAGGCGTAATACCGCACATCCACAAGTCTCTCATTGGGAAGAAAGGGCAACAGAAAACTGTCTAAAGGATACCAGGATCCCTTGTTATCTCAGGACTTAAAGTACTTAATTTTGTCCAGTGTTGGTGATTCCAGTGGACTGTATCTGTGAAACACGATTTTGCCTTTTGTAACTTTGAGAACTTAAAGCTCCCTTGAGCTTTCTGACAAACCAAATTTCTGCATTGAAGTCTTAACCGTATTTAAGTGTTACCATGGCTTCAAAGAAGCTATCGTATTTGTAGTGGGTTTTGATTGAGCTGAGTGTTTTTAGATTGGTTTAAGTAAAGGAAATGTTTGGTTTTGTACAGACTTTTCATCTACTAGAGTGGAAATAATAAATGTTCTATCAAGACTGATGGTTTCTTGTCCACTAACTGAAAAATACCTGGTCTCAGCCTGGCAGCTCTGGAGTTGTTCCAAGGGCATGCAGCCCTGGCGGGGTGCCCAGTCCTACAGTGCTGCGCTTGGCGAGTGCCAGCGGGTGAGGCAGGCAAGGGCTGCTGGCAGAGCCCAGGCTGTGGTGCGGCGGCTGCCTGCCGTGGGCAGGTGCACGGGGGCTGGACCTCCTGCGCTGGCCTTGGCTGGTGTCGGCCCTCACAGAGGGAAGGGAGACGTGGTGGAGGAGGAAGGTGAGCTGAAAGGGTGTTGAAAATTCACAGCCTCAGCTGATTCTGTGGTACAGCCTGACTCCCCTCACTCTTGTAAGACGCCAGGGAGAGACATCCATAAAAGCTGTATTGCAGCTGCCTCGGCTGTGTGTGGAGCCTCACTGCGTGTGAACCCCAAGGAAGGCTAAAACCTGCAGCAGTTAGTTCTGTCCTGGTGTGGCTCTTGGAGTCTGCAGGGACCTGATGTGGGGAGCACCAGCTTTGTCAGCCTGCACCCTTCTAGCAGCAAGGGGCCAAACTGTGCAGCTAGACTTTAAGGAGGGTTAAAGTTACCGTTTTCACTTTTGCCATACAAGAGCATCCTCCCAAGCAGCAGACTAAAGGGGGTTGTGGTCCCATCTCCCATAGCTCTGCTTCTCCGGGTCTCCACAAGCACGCTTTTTAGAGGTGGCTGGGGGGAAACAATTTTGGTGAGGTGAAAGGTGCTGCTGGGGCTGGGGGCTGCAAGCTCTGTGCCTTTTAGACCTGCTCCTCAGCAGCGAAATACTCTAAATAACGGTAGTTCTGCATGGGACAGGTAATCCTGTATCTCTAACCTCTCTCGGGCAATATCTGCTGTAGCTGGAAGGTGCTGACCTAGATTGCAGGTGCTGCTGAGACCGGTGGTAACGGCACTCGTCCCC